ATTATTATTATTTTAATCAAGATTCAATTTTCGGTTATGGAACGTAACATTCGTTTTATCTACCTCAATCAACATTTCATAAATTACAGAGGTTAATCACTTAATTCTCATTCTGGTTAGATTGAATGTTGTGATTATCTAAAAATGAGAATGTTAAATATTTACTGTCTGAATTGTTGAGTCATAAAAATAATATACAAAGCATGACTTAAAAAACAATAATGTGTATCAGACGCAAAGTGTTGCAAATACTTTTAAATCTAAGTTACTGGCCTGCTGTTCTTTAAATTATTAATTTTTCTCTCTTTACATTTGGGAAGTCTATCAAAAATGAGCTCAAAATCCCTGCAAATAAATTTGTTTGTAGACTCAGTGATATTTTAGATATCTTCAATTCATTTTTTAAATTAAACTAGGAGGAATTATAAATTTTAATCTAATAAAATCAGGAATAGCTGTGGTTTGATTATATGTTACAACAGCTTGCCCTAAAGGGGACAGATGACCTGTAGCTAACTTGTTAGTACTCTGCCCATTGACCTTTTGACAGTTACTAATGCGCATGTGTAAGGTCAGGCAGTTCATTTTAACCAGTTTTTTATTTACTTTAATGTACACCATTTACTTCTGGTTTCTTCTCACCACTGAACTACATTGTTTAGCAGTGCTACAAGTATCTAAAAGAAAATTAGTTAAATCACAACGCATAATTGTATTTGTTAAATATTGAGTGAACTTGATGGGTTGGGAAGTTTCACTTTCTAACTCAGGTGTAATTTCCTCTGTGAAGTTTCCCTGCAACGTAAGCATTTACACTAGGTGGTGCTGCATCATCAGATTATAACTAAATGATGTAACCCTCCTGCTGTCCTTGGCTCAGCTTTACCCCTCAAGGCCTCAGGGGTCATGGGGTTAATTGTAACCAACACATGTTGAGACTTGTAGTCACAATCCCAGGCCAAAATTATATTTTATCTTGATTTCTTAGACTTGTCCTTTTAAATCCTGAATCCTACTTTTCTGTGTATTGAGCTTAAAAGCTGCTTTTGTTTATTTCAACTCGCAGAAGTTTATCTTTAATTTAACTTACAGTGGTAATAATATCAAAATAACATGTCAAAATCTCCTGTGTTCTCTTTTTGGTGGCAACAAGTTTTAGTTTATTTAAAAATATATGGTAAATTTCTAGTCCTAAATAACTTTCTATGTAATTATAGTCATTCTTTGATTTAACCTATAAAAAATGTAATGTATAAAAGGTAAATTTTATTAAATACATTTTATCATCTGCTGCTGATATTTTTGCTGTGTACATGAATCCAAATGTCTGCCAATAACCAACCTTAAGTTATAGCAAACACATAACTGGCTTGTGTGTTTGCATATGACTAACCTGTTTGTCCATGTGGAGGCAGGGCTTATAAGGCTGAGTTCACCTGAAGCTCATCAGACTGAAGAAGTCTCTTGGAGGAGAGATGAAACGTTTCACTAAAGAAGAACCCATCCAGAGGACCTACTTATTTTTTCTTTTAGAAATTTTCTACCTGGATTACTGAGATGCATCAGGACATAACTGGCTTTAACTCAGTCAGTTTTACTAATACTGAGTTAAATTTGAATGTTGTAGTAGCCGAGAGTCAACACAAACTCCAAATATTTCTCAGCACGTCTGTATATTTTTGGTTGCTTGTAAGTTCTTTGATTTTTATTGATATGAAAGTTATTTTCCAAGGGAGGCCTGGGTCTGAAGGCAACCTAATTTGTTTTTGGTCCTTGTCATTGTGAAGCATCATCGCTAACCACCAATCCGTGTTGCTACCATTATGTCCTGTTTTCTCCAGGTCGGAGTTTTTCTGTGCCATCTCTCTCTTCTCCTCAGTCAGCCTGAAACTCTCACCTGTTCCTGATCTGTAATCAGTTCAGGTGTCTCCAACACTCCTTCAGTTCTTTACCTGCAGTTAGTGATGGGCAAATGAAGCTTTTCTGAAGCACTGAAGCTTGCTTTGAAAAAGGGTTCATTACTCGAAGCTTTCCAACACAGTTCTCTTTGGCTCTATCCTGTGGCCAAAAGTATGAAAAGCTGCTTGAAACAACACAAAGTGAAGTGCTTCATCGTGATGGAGATGACAGCTTTTTAATGAGATATTTCTGTTTGATATCAGGCTGTCATCGTGTTGCTTGAACAGATTTTATTTATTTATTTATTTTTTGTGGGTGGGAATAAAGTTACTGTTGTTTATGGTTTATTATAATAAATAAATAAATAAATAAATAAAAAGTGTGCCTGTGTATTTTATACTGAATTATTTCAAGTTCAAGATCTTAATTCATTTTCATTTAAAAACAAAATTAACTCTGTACACACAAAAAAATCACAAATAAAATGAAAGACAGAAAGCAGAAAGAAAAGTCTAATTTTATTCTCTGCCCCTTATTTTCAAAAAATAAAATATAAGCTACTAGATTATTTCACACATTCTTAAAACCAATAAATACAGTAGTTGAATTTCAACTTAAGATTTTCACAATCTTATCATGACATTTCTCTGAGAATAATTTTGAATATGATCATATATTTAAAATATATTCTGTGTGTGACTGCTTGTCTGTGTTTTTCTAAATACAGGATCAATAAAATCCCCTCTGAGAGACTCTTCAGATTTACTTTAATCAGATGTTTATCTAAATTTTAGGCCCAGCTTTGAGACAATATTTTTTTTACAATTAATTCTTCCAAGTATTAATAATATTTCCTACAAGTCTGATAAATACAGCCCCTGGTCTTTGATTTTAATTTTGACATGAACGTTTAAAACTTTTCCACTGAACTTTAAAATGTTTGGATAATGCCTTTATTAAATAGAGTCCATACAGTTGATCAGTTTCATCTGATGACGTTTGCGCGCGCATGTCATCACGCACGGTAAAGGGCTCGACCTAACCCTAACCCAAACCTAACCCACCGCGCGTTAGGATTTGCACATAAATATACGCCCGTTTTATGGCCCCAACGGCTTGCAATATATGGCAAGCCGTTGGGGCCATAAATCGGGCGTATATTTACGTGCAAATCCTAACGCGCGGTGCCGTAAATAACGCGCGAACGCGCGATGGGTTAGGGTTAGGGTTTGGTTTGGGGTTAGGGTAGAAAACGCCACCGCGCCTTCGCACGTTATTTACGGCACCGCGCGTTAGGATTTGCATGTAAATATACGCCCGATTTATGGCCCCAACGGCTTGCCATAGCCATAAAGGTTCTTTGTGGGTTCGTGACCCCCACTGTCTGGCCCAGGCTTATAAACTGCACAACAAAATAAACACATATTTGTTTGCCTCTGTGTCTCATAATATGTCCTTCACTGGTTTGTTATATTTTGCGCATTTGCCATCAAAACACACCACAAATCCAGCCAATGATTCATTTCCTCATGAACCTTTGAATCAGGTACTAAAGCAGTGACGTAACTTCACCACTTTCGACGCTTCGGACGTCACTGATCACGACTTTCACCAAACGAATCAAGCTCCGACACAGTACTTCTGAAACAGTGTGTTGTTTTTTTCAATACATGCGCTGCAGCTTCAGCTTCAAACTGCCCATCACTACCTGCAGTCATCTTCCAGCTCCACCTCAGCAGTGCATTGTTGCTTTTCTTGTTGAACTCTTTATTCTGCTCATTCTCTTCAAGTAAAAGAAAGTATTTGCTGCCACAATAGCTGTTTTTTGTTTATAAATACTTTGAACTCCTCAAGTCACCCTAATATTATATATAAGGTTTGACCTCGATGGCTAAAGCTGTCAATATAAGACAATCTTAGTCTGAAACTCTTGCATGATGGTGGGCGATGTGCTTTAAATCCAGATAGTTGCTACATCATTACCTCCACCAACCAAATGACCTGTTCTTGTGTACACAGCAGAAAGCTACGTGCTAAATGAAGCATGTAACAGAAAATACTAAAATATTTTCACATACTATTTATATGACAAAATTAACTTTGTTTTCAATTTAAAAAAAGTCCACTCCTTATATCCAACCTTTAAAAATAGCTTTTAATTGTCATCCTTAAGAGTTAGAAAATACTGAACAGTTGACATATTTAAATACACAGCACTAGAAAACACTAGTTTAGCTTCTAAGTACTAAGTCAGAAGTGTCAGATGAAGAATAATTTAAGAAAAATTTACAAAATGTACATTTAAATTAAGTGACAATATTAATGCAATAAAACAGCACAGCTGCCAGAATATTTGTGATATAACCCTAATATTCAAAAACTGAATCACGAGTTAAAGTGAACATGAACAAAAAAAACCCCTGTAAAAATATAAACCAACCGTTATTATTGCTCATAAAGAAGGTTGAGTTGTGAACTCTACCAACTCCTGTAGAAAGTACTTTAAATAGGCTGCTGGTTTCCCCTCACATCTAGTGAGACTTTGTGATTGATCAGTTATTGCTTCAGTTAGGAAACTTGAATTCTTCATTCTGACTTTTCTTTTTGTTTAAGTCAGACGGTAAAAATTTCCATTGGTGACTTTGTCAAGAAAGTGTCCAAAGTCATTGTCAAAATCCCCTTCTTTCCAAAGGCACTGTCTGTCTTTGCATCTGTAAAACCAAAACAAAGAAAAACATTTAGTTGAGCAAAAGATAATCTTTACCACAAGCACTCATTTAGCTGAACACGTGGTCTGAAACCCTGGTCACATGAGAGTAGGCTGATGTAGGAGGGACCAGGTTTTGTGTAACCACTGTAAGGACACATAATTCATGGTCATTTTACTGAGACTCCAATCCAGATGGAGGCTGTGGTGATATGATCAACTTTACGAGTCTGCAAATAAATATTCAAGCCTGAGAACTGATTTGGTTTCCTGCGCATAATTTAGGCTTTCAATTGAACCATTTCTTACAACACAGTGCTTTGACTGAACGACACACTGAGCAGATTTTGAAACTTCTTTAACTTTGAAGGCATGTTTGTTTATACGGAGCAGCAGGTACTTTCTTCCATAGGCGTAATTTGCAGGGGGGTTAGGGAGGTTATGACCCTCACAATAATTTGATCAAGTCAAAATAACTCCACCAAGAAAATCACATAATTTGCCCAAACACAATAGAAATTAACTGTTTAAGTAGACTGAAGCAACTCTCTTGTTTTCTTTAGGTAACTTTAACCTGATTAAAAAAATGTATGATGTCATATACATACGTTTAAGCCTAATTGATAAAAATGACAGTTTTAGAGCATAACCCCCCTCAATGATAGACCTAAAGTTACGCCCTTGATTTTTTCTGCATGTCAGTTTGCTGAAAATGGTTGGCTCCCAGAAGCCGGTTGTTAAATTAGCAAGAAGAAACGTGCAACCACCGTTCACGTCTTCTTTCCAAACTCCGCGGTTAACAAGAAAAATTAAAAAAGTTTCTTCTGACTATTTCAAACGTCTGATACATCAAGTGAAAAAAAACTATTTATCATCTATCACTGTTGTTTAAATGTGGGACATGTGCTACATTGGAAGTGCTGTGAAAGGGGGCATGATAATTTATTCCCCACATCATCTTCGTTAGTTTAAATACTTGGAAAAAGAAAAACATGTCTGAAGTGATGTAATCACATCTGAAGTGATGTGATCACTGATCTGCTGTTTCACGTCTTGTGAAAATATAAACCAGCTTTTACTCCCGTCTCAGATGGTTCTGTTTGTTTGGCTTTATTTATCACCCAATGTCATGAAAAGTGGGTGATCATGCAATTGTGTGTGTGTGTGTGTGGGGGGGGGGGGGGGAACTGGTATTTCCTACATAGTGGGACAGGTTTTTTTTTTTTGGCATACACACCTACTTATGGGAATCTAATGTTACTTATGGGGACCTGAGTCTAGTCCCCATAAGGGAAAAGCTGTTGGTGTGATGGGGGTTAAGTTTAGGACTAAGGTGTGAATTGAGTTTAGGTTAGCTTTAGTGTTGGTGGTCAGGGTTAGACTGTAGAAATTAATGGAAGTCAATGCCAGGTCCCCATAAAGATAGCTGTACCAGATTGTGGGTGTGTGTTAGCAAATGATCTCATTAACCAGTGGGGGGACTTTATTGAAACTCTCCAAATAATCATTTGATGTCCATCTACAGCTGATTAACTTTTGGAGTAAATCCCACTTTAGATGGCTGCCACTGTTAAATAACTCAGCATGTTCTACAGATGCTGAGCTCAAATTTGGTGTAAAATTTTGCCAACAGCTATTGGATCCAACTGTTTAGCGAAAATCTGTATGATTTTTAATGAAACTTTCAGAAAACCACTATTGGGTATAAGTCTACAAATAATTGCATTTTAAAGAGTAACTTACCCAAAATTAACTTTTTTTAGCTGATAAACTGTCTAGAATGTGTCTAAAATGTTATATAGTACTGTTTCTGCGCTAATTTTTATGTTTTTGTGYGTATTTGTTCAAATCTGTAATATTTAGTCTAAAAACGTCTTTTTGCTGCTCATATGGGTGGAGCAGTGGTACTGCAGGCTAATTTGCATATTGGTTAACAGCTCTCCTCTGTGACGTGTCTTCTCCACGGTTTCATCACAGCGGCTGTGTTCTGGTATATAAAAGCCTCTCTCTAAGACACGCCCCTACAGCAGTCAGAGCGTGGAACAGTTAGCAAGCTTAGCATGATCGTCTGTTGACCTTCAGCCTCGGGTGGGGAGAGCTGACTGCTCTCTCTCTCCCTCTGTCTCTGTGTCTCCACACACACACAGAGACAGAGAGAGACAGAGACAGAGACAGAGACAGAGAGAGAGAGAGAGAGAGAGAGAAAGAGAGAGAGAGAAAGAGAGAGAGAGAGAGAAAGAGAGAGAGAGAAAGAGAGAGAGAGAGAGAGACCAGCAGTAAGGCAGCGGGGCAGCTTCAGCCTGAACCCACACATGCCAACTTGTACAGATTGTCTGTAAATTACAAAGATTTGACATCATTTTGCAGGTATACGGACATATAGAGCAATCTCACTGATTTTTTCAAGTCTTACGGATGTTTTAAAAACCTCATTTTCAAATTTATCTAACATGTCAGAGC